CCAGCAGCGCTGGGGTGGGTTTTTCCCCTCTCCCCCCCCCCCCTTCCCCTAGATTGATTTTAGCGGAGGGGGAAGGGGGTGGGGAATCCTTTTTATTGCAGAGTCCGGCACGCTTTGCAAGCCCTCCTCCTCCTCCTCCTCCCCCCCTGCCTCTGGGGCGTTCTCAGCCTTCCCCGGGGGGTGGGGCGGCCGCTTGTTTTCTGTAGGTGAGGCCTTTATCTCGGTGGCGAACTTCAGTTACACGTTAACCGCTCTCTGTCCGTTGCCCTTGGCGGACTCGTTATCAGCACAGCTCAGCAGCTTCCAAGCGGCTCTGCCCTTGGGGCTGGGCTGGATAGCAGGAGTTGACTAACGAAGCGATTGGCACCTTTCCCACAGGCGTTCTTGTCTCCGAGGCGAGGTTTTTCGCTCATAGTTTTTTTTTTTTGAAGTGAATCGGTAGGAATCCGTGGTTTCCTTGGCGCTGTGCTTACATGTCTCGCTTGGCCTGAGGCTCCCGTTTTAGCCATAGCCGAGATGAGTAGCTGGTCCAAACAGCAGCTCTGACCTCTGTGCTGCAATCTTGGTGCTTTAAACGTGCAGGTAACTCGAGACGTTCTAGTGACGCTGCGGTATGTTGTGGCATGTGGGTGCAGAACTTTACAGCTTGCTTCTGTGTTACTGTGAAGGTCTGAACCTCAGCTACAAGCTAAATGTTATTAAGTTGGTGGATGATAGTGGTACACAAGCACCAGTGTCTTGCCTCGAACCTCCGAGCTGCTGGTTTAAGAGCAGAGAATTCTGGAGTAGTTTGTGTGGTAAATAACTGGCAGTTGACACAAAGCTTTCCATTGAATCCTGCCTAATGGCCCTGACCAAAGAACAAGCAAGCTGTGTGATGGCTTCTAACTGCTGTTACAGTTTTTTGGGCTTTCAAAAAAGATGATCTTGTATTTGCTGTTGAATATGTATTTTAGTTCAATTTATCTTTTGTTTTTTAAATGTGATATTAACTTTTTTCCCCCAGAAGTAGAAAGTGTACTTCTCAGTCTAATCTCCGATAAGCCTAGTGAAGCATGGGAGCTTTGTTGCAGAATTACCTTAAAGTTCTTGGCCACCCTTAACGGGTAGTGGAAGTTAGAACCTTGACTCGTGATTGCTGTAAACAACTCAGGCAAACAAAGGGAGCGTTTCTCCTTCTTGAAAAAGGCTTTTCAAGTCTGCTGTGTTTAAGGCATTTGAATGGTCCTCAGAAGAACAGGTATCTTTGTGGGGTGTGAGTTCAGAACTGAACCACAAATACCATTTATTTGTGTCCCTGGTGTTCATGGTAGGGATACAGGTTAAAATTTAATCCTGGTCAGGAAAATGTAACTTGCGAAGGGAAGAGTTTTGCCAATGCTGCCTTGCTGTCATCATTGCTACTGCTAGCCTTAGCTTGGACTCCAGCCATCTTGAAGTAGGGCTGATAGGAGACATATCTGAAGTCACAGTACGGACTTGGCCTTGTGTGGCTGCTGGAGTGAGGCTTGGGGTTTTGAGCATATGAACTGTTATTTTTCAGTCCTACTATTTTGACCGGGATGATGTGGCTCTGAAAAACTTTGCCAAGTATTTCCTGCATCAGTCCCACGAGGAACGTGAGCATGCTGAGAAACTCATGAAGCTACAAAACCAGAGGGGCGGACGCATCTTCTTGCAGGACATCAAGGTGAGGAGTGGAGCTATGGGTTGTCCTGTCTAATGCAGAACTAGACTTGTGGTTTGTCTCCAGGCTGGAAGGGGAGGAATTTTCCCTGTGGGTCCTCTCCCAGAAGGAGCAGCAGCTGACAGTAGATAAGCATACTGCGTTACTGTGACCTGTGCATGGCACTCAGCCCAAAATCTAGAGATGTGTGGTAATTTGATATTATGTGCTGTAACAACAAGTACTTCCTGTGTAAGAAGAGGATGCCTAGCCCTAGGTGGTTTGCTGTGGTGTGAGGGTAACCAGAACACAACTGGTTCATCTACCTTAAATTTAATGGCAAGACCCTTCTCTGTTCTCTGCACTGTTTTGTAGAGAACTCTTGCCTCGCTTGCCGTGGGAATATGAAATCTCAAGTTTCCGATTGCTTGTTATGGCTCACTGCAAGATTTCATAGCACTGTTTTCATGAAGTTGCTTTAATTAGACTATTTGGAACAGCAGAAAGTGAGCAACGTCGTAGGGCCAGTTTAATGCAAGACAGCTCTTCATGCGGAAAACGGCAAAGTAAGTGATGGGCACTTGAGAAGAATTCCCCTGCTTATTAGTAATGGTGAGTACTTGTAAACACTAGACTCTACACTAGGCAGTTCTGAGCTGAAGACTAGACTTGCCCGTAGTGGTGTCTTAACGGCTTCATTTCTGAGATTGTGCCCGTTACCTACTTAGATAGGCAGATGTTTAAGCCGTTAGGTTATAATGGGAGGAGGGAGACTAGCTCTGTTAGCTGTCTTGCCTACGAGAGCTCAGAGAACATAACATGAGGAGAACCTAGGCAGTGGGGACAGGTCTGGGACTTGGAGCGTGCATTCAGTTCTGTTCAGAGTATGTGCTGTGTGCGTGCCAAATTAAAAGACTTTGTTCCCTAATGGTCTGTGGGTACTTACAGAAAATACGGTCATGTGCTTTCCCCTTCTAGAAGCCAGATCGTGATGACTGGGAGAATGGACTGACTGCAATGGAGTGTGCCCTGCACCTGGAGAAGAATGTGAACCAGTCACTGTTAGAACTGCACAAATTGGCAACTGAAAAGAATGACCCACACGTAAGTGGGTGCTGAAGCTGAGAATGTAGCTGTGCAATGAGGGGACTTGTATGTGTCTAATTGTGTGGGTTTGGGGGCAAGTTGTATGTCCCTGACATTACTAAAGGTGAAAAAAGGGTGTGAACTAGCGGTGCAGCCCTTCCAAAGGGAAGGGCCCAGGTGTCAGCCTGTACCTTAGCTCTTTGGTAGGGATATTGCCGTCTTTTTCCAGGAGGACCAGTTGCAGCGTGTTAGGGTGGCCGAGGCCTGCCTTACAGAACAGTGGGTGCATTGCTTTGTTCAAACCCTTCTGTTGCTCTTGGGAACAGAGAGCACTCGTGAACAGCATTTTGAAGAGAAGAAATTTATTAAGCTCTATGGAGAAGGCTTGTTTCTGTGGGGGATGAGTTCTTACTTTAAACCAATGGGTGCCTGTAAGGCTTTTTGTCATAACATTTTGGAGTCGCTTCTTCTGAATCTTAAACGCCCTGACACTTCAGAACGCAGTGTCTGAAAACAGGTTTCTTCACGGGTGGAAGTTACTGGCAAGGCTGGATTGAGGTTTCTTAGGAAGAGGTTAGCGTGTGTCTGAATCAAAGTGTTCTTGGGGGTGTCCCACATAAGTTAGAGGTACTTTTTTGTAAAAGAAACAACATAGCTGGACCGTTCTACAGGTGTAAATCCTGATGGTCGTGAATTCAAGTGCTGTGCAGTGGGGGGCTTCTAAATGTGTTCAGAAATGTGCCTGTTGCTGCTTGTAGTGAGGAAGAGGGGGGACTTCATGAGCTGACGTTGTACTGCAGTTCTGGAGCAAGTGTGCCTCACTTTGGTCTTGTTCTGGCATTGCTGAGGCAAAACTGAAGGCTGCTTCTTCTCGGGTATCTTTTGCAGCTTTAAAATTGTCGTTTTGCATCTTTTCCCTAGAGAGGATTGGTAGAATTTCAGATGCTGCTTCAGCAGGGATAAGCTGTGTTCAGGCCTACATTTAAACTCCTTTTGTCTCCCTTTCAGTTGTGTGACTTCATTGAGACTCACTACCTGGATGAACAGGTGAAATCCATCAAAGAGCTGGGTGACCATGTGACCAACCTGCGGAAGATGGGGGCACCGAAATACGGCATGGCAGAGTACCTCTTTGACAAGCACACCCTAGGGGACAGTGACAATGAGAGCTGAAGTCTTGCCAAGAGCCACTCTGTGGGTTTCAGTGGGACTCCTACTTTACTGTCTAGCCATGCATGCATCTTCAGCTATTTAGATAAACAGTTCTCATACTCTGTACCAAATATCACCCCTCTTTTCTCTTGTGTTTTGTGTGTTGCCCTCCATCCAATAAAGTGACTTGGTTCAAGCTGGCTTTTTGTTTCTCTCGGGAGTGAGAGGCCTGTACTTGCAGGATTGTGCTCCATAGTCTGTGTTGTGACAGTCGTCTTAAGTTGGGCCTGGCTGAAGGAATACATTAGAGGGATGAGGTTTACTTAGCGCTTTTATAAAAATGACTTTTTTCCAGTCCAGTGGGATCCACTGCAGGAATTGCTCAGTGACTAAAGTTGTGTTTTAAATGCCTTTGCCACCAAAGCTGTTGCTGTAATGAATGCGCAAGGAAAGGAAGGCTTGAGTATCTGGGCTTCCTGAATTGGTCCCTGTGAATTTAGATGAGGCAACTGAAGGTGTGCGGAGGGTGTTAGACATGATGCCTAGTGAGGCGCTAACAAATGGCACTACACTTGTGTGTGGAGAAAACGTACTGTGAATCAAGACTTCAGAGCTGTGTACTGTAATGGGGCTTAGACTCAAAACAGCGGCGCTGCAGGGGCTGCCTCAAGGACATGGTGTCAGGGGTTGCGGCGGGCGGTGACCTCTGCCTCAGCCTAGCAGCTGTACTTGGAAGGCGGAGGGTAGGTGGCTGTTGTGAAGGCATTGGAAGGGATGTGGGAGGTAAATTTGTCATGTGCCCCCTGTGATATGGGAGATATGCAGCTGTTTCTGAAGACGGAAGAAGTAGGAAAACAACTGCGGTTTCTCTAAATTCCTATCGTTGCGTAGAAACTAAAATGAGGAAATGAAACGGATGGTCCTGGACTTCAGCCTTGCTTTTATTTTCTTGGGGAAGACAGGATAAAACCCGTAGCTGTATGGTGTCTGCTACCATCCAGATGACTTCTTCTCTGAGTGTTGTCTAATCAGTGGCAGATGTGATGTGGAACTTCAAAAGGAAGCAATGTGCTGGGCAAATGCTTTTGGCTGCAGCCACCTGTTCTGGTGGACGCTTGCCCTGCCTTATTCCGGTACTTTTCCGGTACTGGAAAACACCAATTAGACACGACTTTGTGAAGCGCTATGGATCTGCATCACAAATGATGTGACTCGCTTCAGTCCCTTACTTTCCCTGCAGTATCTTGTCGGTAGTGCAAGTGCTGCCTGAGACTTGTAATGGGTCTTGTGACACACGTTAACATAAAGCTCAAGTTCCAATCCTTGCTGTGATGAGGAGGGGGGAGGTATCCTTGTTAACTATATTCCTCTTCTGTTTTGGGCTACACCTGCGCTCCAGGTTCTTCAGGCTGGTACCTGCTGAGCTATTGCTCTGCTGTTCGCTATCTGCAATACTGAACACTCAAAGTCTTATTTGTTCTTTTGCTACCAATGTAGAGGGGTTTTCTGTTTGTTGTGTTATTGTTGCAACACTGAAGTTGTGCCTGCTGCCATACCTGAGGCCGGCAGCAGTGTGTCATTAGTGCTGGCTTTAGCCTAGGCTGGGCTTTAGCTGCATGCTCCAGCAGTAGGTGGTTTGGCTGCACTGCCCTTCCGTTTGGGTGAGTGCCAGCGTGGCCAGGTGTAAAGATACTGCGATGTCACTAATATGGCAGGTATCTCAACAGAACTGTGTGTCTCTTGGTCTCCTCTAGCTGTACTGATCTATCTGCTCTTCACATGTGCTTTCACTGGTTTCCATGATCACCTCCATCAGCCCCACGTAGTCACCTTCGGCTAGAGAGATGCCAGAGTCATTGGGGGATGGACTCTCTGCTCGTCTTGGCTCTTTTGTAGGGGGAGTGCTGGTGCTTCCATTGCCAGTATCTCTTGTGGTCCTGGAAACCTCTGCTGGATGCTGGTCTGGAGCGCTGGCTGTATCTTCTAAACTTAGGCTGCGAGCATCGGGGCCCATGTTCCCCAGGTGGGATCTCTCCAGCACTGGAGATGTTACAGGAGTGAATGAGAAGCAGAGGGAGGCGCTGCCTCCGGGGGTTTTGTTACTGGGGGTGTGAAAGGCACTTGAATGCTCAGAATTGGGGGTGGCTGATGCTGTGTTGTCCAGCGTGAGCCAGGGTGGGTGGGAACCTTTCAAGCTCTTCAAACTCTTGAAGCTGCCCTGCTTCTCATGGTCCGGGGACTCAGCCAAGAAGGGGAATTTAGGGCTGTCTGATGCTGTGGACTGAGCTCCTGGACTTCCCGTGGTGGCAGCTTCTCTGCTTTTACTGTTAGAGTTGCTCTTTTCTTCTACTGTTACAACCAGTGAGTCAGGACCTTTGCTCCGATCTGTTGGCCAAATAAATGTTTCCTTTGCACCTGAGCCAAGGGAACTCTGACTCTTATACATATCACTGACCCTGGAAGGTGAGGAGTTGACAATGACATCCCTAAGAGAAGTCGAGCATGCAGCGATGCTGGAGAGTGCAGGAGGCTTCTTGCGGCCTTGGCGTCTAGAAGGGAAAATCATGGGGATAGAGCTGATCGGTGTCTGTGGAGCACTGTAGAAACCAGGTCTCTCATAAAATGGGGTTGACATGAAGGCGTCAAACTCCCTTAGCTTTCTATCTTCGCTGTCCCACTGCTCCTGTGAGCTGGAGCCTCCTCTTGGCTGATTGATGCTGCAAGGGCTTCCAGACTTGCCCATGTCTTGGTATGTATAATGGGAGAAGGGGGATGTGGGGTCTCCTCGCCTGCGCAGCAGGTTCATCCGGGAAGAGGACCTGGAGAAGCTTGGTGACTGGACGCCGAGGAGGCGGCCCAGGTGTCCCAGTAATGGTGTGGAGTGGTTTGCCTCCTCATTCTCTTTAATTTGCTCCAGGGGTTGGAACTCCATCTCTTCTTTCTGCATGCTGGGGAAAGGCAAAATGGGCTGTTACGCAGTCGCAAAAGAAGGTGGTTTCTGGTGGAGAGGCTGGCAGCACAGGGAATGCTGCTGCCAGTGGCAAGCCTCTCTCTTCCTGTATTGCCATTAGATATGTGTTAGGCCCTCCACAATAGGGATGCTCGTAGCAGAGGGGAGGGGGGCAAGAGATCAGAGGCATCCTTTTCCGTGGAGGATGTTGGCTATCATCTTTGGATGAGCCTAAAAGTATCTTAGAGCAAGATTTGACAAACTATGGAGAAAGATATTACTGCTCGCTCTTACTCCTGAAGTATAATACCCCGCACAACACCTGATCCAAGGTGTAAATGCGGACTGTTCTGATACTCTGTGGCTGCACTCACCTGATATCAAAAGTTGAGCCAAGGAACGATGGGCGTTTGTACTCAGCAGTGGCGGCGGTGTAGGGTGGCTGGGGATCGGGCTCATTCCAGTATAGGTCCTTCTCCAGAATGGGTAAATCCTGATGCATCTCATCCACTGCCATAAGGGAGACCTGGAGGGGACAGCAGAAGTGTCATATGGGGTGAGCAGCGTTAGGCATGCCTGTTATCGGCAGACAAAAGATTGCAGGGCAGGAGGAAGCAATGTAGCACAGAAGCGAGGCAAGTGGCTGGGTTTGCGATGTGGTTTCCCGTCACTGGGGTTGTTTCTCACACGGAGAGATTGGATTAATTGGAAGGAAAGCGATGCTGAAGGAGACAGGAAAGCCATACGCTCACCAGGACAGAAGGGCTCGGTGTTAGGAAGGGCTGAAGGTGGAGAGTTATTGCATGGAAGAAAGCAGAGGAGGCAGTTTTAGATACAGACACAGGGTGGAAAAGCTAGGGAGCGGCAGGAATGAAGTGTCATTCAAAGGTAGCGAGGGCATGAAACTAACAGTCTGGATCCATCGTGTGTGCCAGAGCACGGACTAAAGCTGCAGTCGGTCTCTGTGTACAAAGATACGCCAAAAGCCCTGTCTTCCCTGGTGTGGGGGAGGTCTTCCTGGCACAGGTCTCGCCCCACGTTCTTCCTGGAGCCTGGGATGTCTCCTTGGCTGCTGAGAGGGAACGCTGAGCTGGCCCCCTTCACCCTCGTATTCGTTGGGAAGCCTTATGCTCTCCTCCTGCTCTCCTAGCCATCTCCCTCTGGAGATCCTGGGCCCCTTCTTAATGTGCAGCCACCGACACCTCAGGAAAGCATAAGGGTAACAAGGACGGCGTCTCCGCCCCATAGCAGGTATGGAAGGTGGGCGGTAGAGGTGTTGCAGGAGAACTTTGTGACGGCACTGATAGGGCTTGCTAAACCCTCAGGTGCAGTCCTGCCTCAGTGTCCCTTTGCAGGTCAGGCTCATCTGGAGGATCCTCCTCATCTGGAGGATCCCGCCTTCACTTTACCTGCAGATTCCTGTCGATGAGCCAGTTGGTTTCAAAGTCGTCATCGTCCTCCCCAAAAGGGTTGATGAGTTGCTCAGCCACCTGCGTGTAGAGAGTGCATAGCAAAGGTCATCATGGTCATACCTGCCCCTTTCCCTGCGGGGAGAAGGCCTGTGGGGCAGAGTCAGGTGTGATGTCCCTTGAATTTGGAGCAATGCTGTTCCTCCCAAAAAGGGATGGGTTAACGGAGGCTTGCCAGTGGCTGGGAGACATTGGTACACACAGATAACTGCCCCTTGCTCACGTAGCCCTCCTGCAACTGCAGACCACCACTGCAGGTAAATGTAGCCCACTGCCTCTCTTTTTCCCCAAACTAGTCAGGACCAAAGCTTTTGGGAAAGGTGGAGCTGATCTCCAGGGTGAGACGCTCAGAAACTGAGAAGGTCTTGGCAATACCCTCAGCCCTTGTTGGCTTTCCATTTGTCTGCCAGCACCTGGCATATTGCCCATAGGCCAAAGAACACAGCTGGGACCCTGGTGAGCGCACACCGGGGAAAAAACCTTGGTTGGGTCAGATTCCAGCTCCAGATGTATTTTCTTGGACTTACCTTTAACCAGCCAGCATAGAAGAAGAACTGCAAAAACGTAAAGACAGGCACGAAGAGGTCTAGTTCGTGGCCAGGATATGCTTTTTCTGGATCCAGGAACTGCCGCCCGATCAGACAGGCCAGGAAGAAGCTGTAAACAGCCACGGTCACCACCTGGGAAAGATGCCAGGGGACACACCAGAGGAGTTTGAGTTCTCAGCTTGCTTTCCCAGCGTCTCTCTTCAGTTCCACCCCACGCAACTTCAAAGAGC